AAAATACTTCGAGCACGTGGGAAGCGCTGTAGTGAGCTGAAGTTAGTACTCGTAGGACAGGCACAAGGCTGGGGCTATGATAAGAAACAGAAAAACCACGCAGGCATATCATTGCACCGGTAGCCTTGCACCTGCTGGACGAGTGGTAGGTAACTTTGGCGCTCCACCGTGCTTCCCAACTCCTCCAAGTCTTTCTTATATAGACTGATTTAGTGGTTCTCGATGATGCTCTGCAAATTTCTGATTATGACCTTAAGTTTTTTTTTTTTTTTTCAAAAGTCAAAAACGTTAGGTAACATATCTTACTAATTAACCTATTGATCGCTGTTCATTCAATCATTGCCTCGCACTGCCCAAGGGCGTTACAGCAGGGGGGTTTACAAGGATGAAAAAAACACATCTTCATTCACTTGCCTTTCAGACAGCCGATTCCACGGTACAATCGTCGAACAAAAAAGGAATTCCCAAACATGCATGTCCTAGCGCGGTACTCTCTAATTTTATGCCCATGATCACTACGACTAGAGACATAATAGGGTTCTTTTCAGTAAGTCTTGTTACATATTTCCGTTTTGTTTTTAGATATTAAGAATAAATAAAAAGCTTAGTCGCAGTTTTTCCGGACGTACGGAAAGTGGTTCCCAGTTTAACCATTTTTTTTTTCATTTCAGTACAGCTTTCTTTCCTTTCGTACCGTCCGCGAACGAACCTAGCCGCCCAGTTTATCAATCAACGTTTTCTGGGCTGGGTCCCAGACAGCACATGCATACTCTAAAATGGGTCGAACATATGTTAAATAACCAGTTGTGTTTAGGTTAGGTTGTGAGCATTTTAACTTACGTTGAACGAAATTCATTGCCCTGCCAGCTTTTAGTACTACTTCTATGTGGGCATTCCACGAGCAGTCAGATGACAATATGACATCTAAATATTTGTACGTAAGCTCCTTATTATTTATAAAATACCGAGGTTCAACTTTTTTTCTTTTTAACAAAGATTAACACACTTTTTACGATTTAAATTTATTTACCACGTAGAGCACGAACTAGGAATACGATCAAGGTCAACTTGCAACTGGGCGGCATCATCTGAATTCTTAATCTTTCTATACGCTACACAATCATCTGCAAACAACCGAATGCACCGGATTTCTCGCCGTTCAGCACTACACATCGACGACGCTGGAGCAAGTGATTTTCGATCCATCTAAGCGCACGCGAGTCTAGGATTAACATTCTCAGTTTATTAAGGAGTAAGTGTGAAACGGTGTCGAACGCCTTTGGAATATCCAAGAATATACAATCTGTTTACAATTAACCCCTGTATTATGTCCTCCTTGCATCATAACTCACCGTCACAAACAGCATTAGTGCAACTTTCACGCAGTTTTATAAACAAATCTGTTCAGCTAAAAAAAAATTAAAAAAATTAAAGCCGTTTACAACTCTCTGTAACGCCGAATCAGAGCGCAGCTCTTGAGGAGGAGGAGGGAAGGGTACTGAGGGGAGGGTATACCCCTCCTCCGTCCTCCTCATACTGTCTGCTATTCCCCTGTCCGAGCGGCGTCGCCGTCACCTCATGAGGGTCATGTGACGTCACCGGGGTCAAGTGACCCCTCACAGTGACGTTATCAGAGACGTCACGTTTGACGTCATCGTCGCTGATGACGTCATCAGTGACGATGCCGATGCGGATGCCGATGATGTCATCAATGACGTCACTGATGACATCATCACTGGCGATGACGATGCGGATGCCGATGACGTCATCAGTGACATAACTGATGACGTCATCAGTGGCCATGACAATGATGATGACGATGCCCATCAGTGACGTCACGCGTCCCATTATGCACCGCGCGGTTACGCCGACGCCGACGGCGACGCCGCTCAATCCGGAAACGGGCGCCTAAGGGCTGCGCTCTAAAAGAAGAAAACGCTTTTGAAAAGGTACACAGAGCATTAGAAGGAAATGAAATGATATTTTTATTTCCACAAATTTACTTTGGCGGGCCTCCAGACAAAAAGCTACCATATGATAACTTGACTGGGTTTGGGACTTGAACACGGAGAAAGAAAGGACAGGAGAGGACAAACAGCTGTTTGTCCTCTCCTGTTTTCTCTATTTTCGTGTTCAAGTATTATTATAAAGTTCAAGCTGATATTTTTACAACTATGTAGCAGTACACAGAGCCTTTTTTTTAGACATAAGGTATAGTCCCAGTATGTTTCATTCACAGAGGACATTAAAAATGGTTGGAAAACAAATCCTGGCGCAACACTTCAGCTGTGATAAAGCATCTCTTCCCCTCCCTTTTCTACACTCGGTAGTTTATTTAGCCCATAAATATGATTTCTGTAAAATTCCAGTAAAATTGCTTATCCACTAAATTGTCTATCAAAAAAAAAAAAAAAAAAAAATCGTCCCGCAGTTTTATGAAACTACCAAACTCAAGAGTCTAATGTCATAAACTGCAAAACCAGCAACCGACAAATGCCATGAAAACCTACTCTCGTGATTTAAAACTGACAGTGCTCTAGCGAGACGCTGGAACCAAAGTCGAATTACAGTTCGCTGCTCTTTCGATCGACTATCGTATGGGAACTGTCTTCACTATACCGTATTTATTCGAATATTACCAGCATTTTATTTATTTTTCTCGGCACAGTTTTTTTTTTTTTTTTTTTTTAGTTAGAGGTCAACTTACAATCAAGACTAAAGAAAGTTGACCTGTAATATTACTGAGTCTTATTTCCGAGCCTATTGCGCTAATCCATGCGCTCTTCCATGTCAACTGCTGCTAATAGAATTCCGGGGTAAAGCGGTGAAGTTCGACGCGCGCGAGCCCTAGTGAGAGGCGGTTAAGGTTGACGCGAGAAACGACAGGATAATCAAGGTATCTTAATCAAGGCTAAACGATCCTAATTCTGTCTTATCACAGTAGCCAATGTCCCACTATGTGACAATATTTTCTCACAACTTTTAGCTCCTGGCATTGCGGACGTACTCTAGAAATTCAGACGATGACAATGGGACCAAATAAAAAAAGTGTCCAAAGCACGACATCATAGCATTTGTCATCCTTCCGTTCGTGTTATTTCATCGGCTAAACCAACAAGCGCAGTGAACGTACCGTACCTTGAGCTTTTAGTATATGCGTGGTCGTAAATGTAGAAGTTGGAGCCTATACAACTGAACTCTTACATCGGATGAAACAAGCTATATAGTGAGCAGAGACGCTGTAAGATAAATATTTGTTCCCACTTCCTTTCCTCCTACCCTTTGAATATTAGGGTCACCGAATAACCAATTTTGCTTGTATTATTATTAGATTTATTCGAGCCGATCTCGGCGCACGTGTGACAGAATTCTGAGCAAACATTTTGGTCCAAGATGTAGCAGACTTTTGTTCATGGATCAATTTGGCGCAAATGGCGCAGCACTTCAGAGACTGCATCATAATCATCTTTCTGTCATCCAGACCCCGCACTCTTCTAGTTGACCTGCTTATCTTCATTCGACCGATATCAACAAGCAGCGTGCGCACCTAGAATGATTTATTTTCGAATTCGCTGGCATTCACGGTTTACCCTTGCTATTTGATTTCCCGGAAAAATATATTATTAACTGTCGTTCCAAAACAGTACATCGGTAATTCACGCTAGAAGAACAATACGCGTTATAGCGCCGCTTTCGGAGAATTTATTTACACAATGGGCTTGGAATGGGCATCGTGGCAGTTCTTAATTACCAGAACACGTGATTACGTGCTTCCCATACAAAATATGCTTCGCGCGTCAAAGAACACTAATTACGAAATCGTAAGAATGAGCGGAAGCGAGGATGTTTTTGTTTTATTTTCAGCACCGCCGTACTCTACTATTCTTACTGTTTTATGTAATATCGTAGAATAAAATCAAAACTCAGAGCAAACGTCTCCTGATATCGGTGTTTGATTTTGGATATTAATATATAGTTTACGCGTCTTCTTTTGATCCGCGCTCGATGGGCCGTCGCCACATCGCATACAAATGAAGACGATCCCATTCAGGTCAAGACACTGCATACGAATTGCGCACTTTTCATGATGGCATCTGAATGCACAAACTGCCATGGTCTCGGTTGCCTGCGGCGTAGCTTAGAATAAATTAGGCTTTACTGTTTTTCTTATAAAGCAAAGCAATCCGAACCCAAGCAACAACAATGTTGCTTCACAAACGAATTGTAGTTTTTGTTAAAAGAAAGGCTGGGAAAAGGAAGAGATGAAATCGCGGGTTATGTTTCATATTATAAAGAAACATCAGAAGAGCATATCAAGTTGCGATAATTATTACCTACCATAATATATTCGTCGTTATTCCTTAAGGAACGGCAATGGTTTCAAGGAAAAAAAAACAAACAAAAAACAGCTCACTTTATGAAGAGTGTAGAATGACATATTGGTGGAATTGGACCGTTAGAAACAAAACAAAAACGAAGGAGTTTGGGGGGGGGGGGGGGGGGGGGTAGGCTTGTTTACAGCTGAGGTTAGTCAGCCGCGCGGTAAAGAAAACAAAAACACTCCGCAATTTTTTTCGGAAAAATGTAGACTCATTAGATTTTCGAAGTAAGATCTGACGCAACGATATGACATTTGTTGTTTACGCGTAACCGTTCAGACGAACCAAGCGAGACAATGTTTTCTTTTTTAGTAGATCGTACTTGCTCTTTTACAAGAATACCCGATAACAAAAAGATGTGAGGACGAAGGAGCCGGCGGAGTATTAGACATCGTTATCGGAGGTATCGGAACAATCTACTAAAACTTTCGTTGTGGCTATGATCTCCAAGCGAGGCATTAGGGAGCATAGTAGATCATTACGACACCTCCGATAGCAATAACATAAAACGATACCATATGTGTCCGCAAAGGCGTTGCCAGGGTATCGGGTATCGCTATGAGAGTCCTCGAAACGATCCACTAACACTCATAATAGGATCTGTCTACGATCACGACGCACCTTGCATGGACCTGGATGGATGTACCACGCGCCTCTTGGGCAAGTACATCATCACCTCGTCGGCTTCCTGGTCAGGAACTCCACCGGCACTCTCGTCCTGACCGTCGTCGAGGTCCTCCTCGCCGTCGGGACCGAGGTCTGCCTCGCCCAGGAGTGACGGAAGGAGCCTGGCCATCCGGCTGGAGAGCAGCTGGTAGTAGAGGCGCTCCTTGTCGCCCATGTCTTGCAGGTCCTCGGGCGACTCGGCCCTCTTCCGGTGCATGCTCGTCGTGGGCACGGGGAAGTGGGACGTGCGCTGAAGAGACTCCAGGTCCAGGCAGAGCGCCAGGCCGGCACCCAGGACCAACAGGGACAAACTTCGCAGCATGGCCACACCTTGATCTGCAACGAGATCAAAGCACCCAAAGAATCTGAAAGAGATGTACACTTCGTGACACCGTTCGTGCGAAGACAACTTCGGCGCTTTTTTACATTTTATCTTGAAAGACTACTGACGGACATCAAATTTTGCCACTTAGGTTTAAATCTCTAATGAGCACTTTCCACCACTATAGTAGTTCCGATGACAGTCCGTCAATACCGAGAAAAAAATAGAGAAAATCAACAATGGCTTGTTCGCGCTGACAGTGTCACGGACTGTGCGTCGGTTTATTTCCATGATTAGAAGACGCGGAGTCAATACGTATGGTTTACTAAGGAGAAAGTAAGGAGAGCTGATCGAAGCTTGGAGAAGGGACACCCTCGAAGCCTAAATGGCAGAGACTTAGATGCTTCAGTGCTGCTGAAGAAGCAACAAATATGCACCTTTGGAAGCCAAGCTTTCTTAAACGAAGTGTCCGCTGCCCCTCTGAAGCTTCCGAAAGGTACCTTATTAAATACAGAGAAAGTTAAGTGAATGGAGAGACCGCAACAAACAACTTGACACGGGGCATGAAGCCTCATATGACGAGTATTGAGAAAGCAAAGAACACGATGGTGTACAACTAGACAGACAGATCGGTGTAATTCTATGCTTTAATGTTCGCATTCTGGCTGGGCAATCCCGCGGTCCTCTGAATCCTCTTTGCCTTTCAGTTGCGACGTTTAGGTTATACGTAGTCTTGTAGAGTACACGTCGTCTTTTAGTCCCCTGAATTCAGTCCGTAGATTGCGGTGATTGACTTTCCAAGTGCACCCAGGAACGTAAACGTGTGAATACGATTTTCATGGAACAGTAAAATAGCCAAAAAAAAAGGAAGCGAAGAATTAACGAGTTGGGGAGGTATAACTATAAAAACGGCAAACTTCTCGGCGTTCAACATAAAAATATGTTTTCACGTTAAATATCCTTGCATGGTACACCATGCTGGTGTTTTAACCAATGCCGGTAGCTGATGTTGCTGCTTGTTGCTAGTGAGAAATGCCATTTCTTATCGACAACCCCCTTTAACAAATTACAAATTCTCGATTTCGTTAACCTCATGGGCTGAACTTTACCCATCTCGCACCGCTGGGGTTACCTGAGAGCAAAGTTGCTTTGTAGGGTGCGCAAATTATTTTTGGTGCGACAAAAGCCACAATAGCCCGTTTTAACTAAACCAAAGGACAAAAAGAAAGCATCACCAAAAGGAGCACCTATGCATCTGTCCCGCGGTATTGCAGTGTGCTTACATACGTACGCCATTAGTACCCTCAGCTTCATGGGCTATTCATAACCGCAGATGCACCTCCCGTGCATGCGATATGCGACGACGTCGCAATGTCTGAAATAATAACAACTACATAGCTTCGCCGTCTGGCCATATATCTTTGTCGTTAAGTTTCGCCGGACCCATTGCAACGTCTCACTTTGGCGTCGTGCATAACTCTGCGATCTGTCAGGTTCACCTTCTTAGAGCTCCAATACGTTTTATTGCTTACTCAGGGGACCAATTGGATTCCGAGTGCTACACCGGCATTGTTCCAAGCACAGAGCTCTCCCAGGGTTTGTGCACAATAAATGGGAACCAGGCGCTTCTCTTTTTTATTTCCTTCGCGTTAAAGCACGTTGTCCCAAAAACGGACTGTGGAACGCTTTCACCACGCGCTAATGTACTAGGCTGCATAGCTGATGGTCGTACGCATCCGCCGGCTTAATGTATTCAGTACAACGAGGGCCCCAGTTGTTTGTTTTACTCAACGAAGACACCGAAATGCTCTTTCTGTTATTGGCACAACTTGCCCCTGTGCCTGACGAGAACTACTCGTCGAAACACGCAAACTATGACGTTAACGACCAACGGACATGTGGAGAGAGACACAGCGGGTATTTGTGCGTGATTTTTGTATTACTCACTGCGCTAACGTGATTAAAAAATGAAGGATGTTTACAAATCTCTGTAATGCGAAGCTAGAGCGCAGCTCTTGAGGAGAAGGAGGGAGGGCGCGGAGGGGAGGGTATGCCACTTCTTCTCCGTACCTTCCCCGTCTCCCCTACTCCTCCCCTAATTTCCTCCTCCTCTCCTCCTCCTAGTCCTACTCTCCCCTCCTCCACCTCCTTCTCCCATCCTCCTCTCCTTCTCCTCATGCATTCTCCTCCTCCCTTCCTCCACCTCTCCATCTACCGTTAAATTTCACCGCTTAATTTTCCTTTAAATTTAGCGAAAATTTCCCCGCTAAATTCAGCGAGTTAAGTTTCCCCGCTAAATTATCCCGCCAAGTTATCCCGCTCAATCTAGAGGAGAAGCTGAATTTGATCATGAGTAACGTGACACGAGGTCATATGTCGTCATTTTGCCAGCTAGATTTAGCGAGAAAATTGACGTCACGTGTCCTCAACACCAATCCAGTTTCCCCGCTACATTTAGCGGGGAAAATGACGTCACATGAGTTCGTGTCACGTCATTTATGAACAAATTCAGTCTCTCCACTAGATTTCGCTGGAAGATTGACGTCACGCGATCTCAACTCCAATTCAAATCCCAAATAAATTTAATGGGGCAGTTACGCCGACGACGACGGCGACGCCGCTCAACGCGGAAACAGCGGGCACCTAAGAGCTGCGTTCTAAAATATTTTCCGAATGCATAGGCGACGATGGTAAGTGCAGGGTTTTCGTACGTTCAGATATACTGTTTCCTCAAAGCATCAAATCCAGACTGAATAAACGTGTGTATAAAAAACATCCGGATATCTAAATAAAAAAAAAACAAAAAAAACACTGTACTTCGATTCAGGTGGACTACATAGTCCAACCCGCTGGCCACCAGGTCCAATCGCGAGCCGGTGGGAAACCACGTGGTGCTTCTCCGACGTGCGTTGTTGGTGGCTCAAGGTGCGCACACTGACACGTAGGTCAGAGCGATATACCATGGAGTCTTCACATGGCTCCTGATAGGGGTCGTAGACATGTCGTTTCATAATTCAGGGGCTCTAATTCTTGTCGAACAAACCTTCGTCAACGCGTAAAGTTTGTAAGAATTCATTATATTCCGCCACAACTTTACCAACCGCTTGTTGTGGAGTTTTGTAGATGTTATCACTTAGTTCCTTTTTTTACGGGTGAAGCATTGCCACTTCAAATGTAAATACCAGCCGCAAAAAGTAATTAGCTTCGCGTTAGGTGACCTCATTTTGATTGTCCCCTCTATCCAGGGCTCATCTTCCTTCCGCCCTTTGAAATGCGGGTTCGGGCTAATGATATATTGAACGCCACGTTCATCAAATGTATTGACGAATATTTTTTGTCTGCGGTGACATACACGTAGAGAAAAGTTCGAACAGCAGTAGAGGTTTTGCGTGACAAGTGCTTTGAACAAGTAACCGTTTCCAAGTAAAAAGAACAACAAAAACTGCAATTGAATTTTTTTTTGTATGACGGTGCGGCATAGATAGAAGGGAGAAGATGAGGAACGTCTAAGTAATAAACGCTTTACGAATTAGCAGTTTTAGGACCCCCAAGGGGAGATCTAAAATGGGTAAAACACACAAGTGGCTAAAAACTTCAATTCAGAGGGTCATGAAATCAGTACTGCAATAATCAATCCAAATATTGCAGTTCTACGAGGGAGCAACTTTATGACCAAAAATTCGAGATTGCAAAAAAAAAAAAAAAAAAAGAACACGCATGTGTAATTAAATAAAAGAAAATCTTAAGACGGAGCAATTTTATGACCACATATCGGAGCTTGCAAATATGGGAAAAACATCACTGCCTAAGAAGACTTCAATTCCGAGAGTCATGAGATTATTAGTTTCTTGAGAGCATTAAAGGGGCCCTAAAGTGCCGTTGGAGGTCCTCATTTTATGGTCGACCCTCAAAATACAAACTCTAAGCATCCTAATAAAAAAAAAGAAGTAATGTACGGCTCATTTGCTTATTAAAAAACTGATCAGAGTTCCCGACACTTACCTTTGGCGCATAGCGACAGATGGCACTAGTGAACTCTGCTGAATATGGTCGAAGGTCGGACTGCGCTTGTCAGCCAATCGCGAGTGATGGATTCCCCGTGTAGACGAGCGGCCGACCGGTCCCGCTCCTCCACGCGGTCACCCATATTCAGCAGAGTCCACTAGTGCCATCTGCCGTTCTGCGCCAACGCTAAGTGTCGGGAACTTTGATGACGTTTTTAATATGGAAATCGGCCGCGCATGAAGGTGATTTCGTTTTTCTTTATGATGCTTAGAGCTTGTAGATTGAAATATGACAATAAAACGAGGATCTCAAAAAGCACTTTAATGCCCCTTTACGTGGGGATCAATTTTAGAAACAATATTACGCCGAAAAAAAAAAAAGAAAAAGAAAAAAGCGGGCGCTAGAACATGTGGAACGTTATTCGGGCTGCTGCCACGGAAAAAGTGTGTCAAAGGTTTCGAGAACAAAGCGAAAAGAGCTGGCTTTTCGCCAAGGGGCATTAGTCAACGGGGCTTCTGAGATGAACAATACTTTGGTGCACCACTCCTTTTTAATTTGTGCTGCCGAAGGAAGCGACTTTTCCGCGGCATTCATTAGATTTAAAGATCACAATGCAAATAGCGTGTTCACGAGTTCGAAATTACAGTTATTATGGCTTATATATATTTTTTAACTAACATTCGTGACCGGCTTTAGCAGGCGTAAAAAATAATGGGAACGTACTTTAACTTATGTGTTTTCACGTAAGGACGGTAAAATCGTACGCGACAGTCGGATATCAAATATTCATTTCAATGTATCTAGATAGCGTCTACCTAATTTTAGAGAGAAGAGTACTAAATTTCAGGCACTAAAAATAAGTAAAGAAAACATCTACGTTTTTTTTTTTTTTTAAACTTTTGATTGTAGACGTCTTGAATCAATTTAAGCTCGATTGTTCCTTCGATTACAAACAAAAATAAAGAAATATCATGTTCTTCCCTAATTCCTATATTTATTCAAATTGCTG